CCATGCATGGGAGGTCCCCGCGGTGGTGCCCGCGGTGCCCGCGCTGACGCCGCGGCCCCACAGAGGTGGACGTGGGCAAGGACCAGGAGTTCGCGGTGGACACGCGCGGCGCCGGCGGCCAGGGCAAGGTGGAGGTGAAGATCACGTCGCCCTCGCGGCGCCCCATCCCCTGCAAGGTGGAGACGGGCGCCACGAGCGACACGCACTGCGTCAAGTACATGCCCCCCGAGGAGGGGCCCTACAAGGTGGACGTCACCTACGACGGGCACCCCGTGCCCGGCAGCCCCTTCGCCGTGGAGGCCGTGCTGCCCCCCGACCCCTCCAAGGTGAGCTCGGCACGCTTGCTCGGTGCCCGTGTTGCACCGATGGTGCACGGTGCGTCACGCGTGTGTGCATGCTCCTGCAGCTCGCTTGATGAGTGCGTGCTCCCCACGCGCGTGTGTGTTTGCACATGTGCATGCTCACACTGCACAATCATTGATCGAGCGCTCCTGGCTTGCCTGCGGGTGTGCTGATTGTGCTTGGTGCGTGTGCAAGTGTCTGCATGCTCCATGCACGCTCCATGCACGCTCCATCCATGCTCCATGCATTCTCCATGCACGCGCCATGCATGCTCCATGCACACTCCATGCACTCTCCATGCATACTCCATGCACAATCCATGCACACTCCATGCACGCTCCATGCACACTCCCACCCCTTGCTCGGCGATCACACGCTCCCACACGTGTGCTAATTGTGTCAGGCATGCGTGCAATTGCACACAGACGCCTCACACACGCTCCCCCCTTGCACACCCCTCCGCTCACTCCTTGCACCCTCCCTGCTTGCACGCAGGCGTGCAGAGCGTGCATACACCCACACACACGTGTGCAAGCGCCATGCACGCTCCTCCCGCTCCCTCCTCGCGTGCATTTGCCCATGCTTGCTCGGCACGTGCCCTCCGTGTTTGCACCCGCGCGCCCCGTTGCACGGGTGCACACCAACGGTGCCGCCCCGCAGGTTTGCGCCTACGGGCCGGGGCTGCAGGGCGGCTTCGTGGGCACCCCGGCGCCCTTCACCATCGACACCAAGGGCGCCGGCACCGGCGGGCTGGGCCTCACCGTGGAGGGCCCGTGCGAGGCCAAGATCGAGTGCCAGGACAACGGCGACGGCTCGTGCTCCGTGTCCTACCTGCCCACGGAGCCGGGCGAGTACGCCATCAACATCCTCTTCGCCGAGCACCACATCCCCGGCAGCCCCTTCAAGGCCGACGTGAAGCCCGTGTTCGACCCCAGCAAGGTGACGGCCAGCGGGCCGGGGCTGGAGCGCGGCAAGGCCGGCGAGGCGGCCACCTTCCTGGTGGACTGCTCCAAAGCGGGCGACGCCGAGCTCACCATCGAGATCATCTCGGACGCGGGCGTCAAGGCCGAGGTGCTCATCCAGAACAACCGCGACGGCACCTACGCCATCACCTACACGCCCGCCTGCCCCGGCGCCTACACCATCACCATCAAGTACGGCGGGCACCCCGTGCCCAAGTTCCCCATCCGCGTCACCGTCGACCCGGCCGTGGACACCAGCGGCGTCAAGGGCTACGGCCCCGGCGTGGAGCCCCGAGGTGAGCGCGGGGACCCCGTGGCGTTGGCACCTCCTGGTGTTGGGGCCCCTTGTCACCTCCCCCGGGGTGCCCATCTGGTGGCATCTCCTCCGTGTAGGG